ATTAGCTGACTCCTTCCCTAGAACTAGAGACAGAGGCAAAGCAAAATTGGGTCGCTCTTTAGTTACCTGATAATCCGGATTTTGACACCTTTGGTTTTATTTTCTTTAGGTCTCTCATGTATTTTTTCGTTGCTCAACTTAGTTTTTCATGATATTCATGCATTATTTGTTGAGGTTATCGTGTGGGCAGGGGGGCAGGGTGCCATGTTTGGGCCCTCCCACACAATTTATCTGTATCCAACTTTCTTTTTAATATATTAGCCATTGGGCTTTCTCAAAAAAAAAAAAAATCTAAAGCAAAATTTTCAAGAGAGAATTTTGGCGACCGACAACAATGCACCCATGACGTTTCAACATGCAAGATGTCGATCTTCTGTGAGGGTTGTGTTAGGTAGTCGACAGTCAACGTAAAACTTGCCGAAAAAAATCATGACATGATGCTCATAGTGTATTAAAAAAATTAAATAAACATTTACCTTGAATCTCATTTTAAACAATCAATTTATATAAACATTTAAGATTTTTATTTATGATTTATGTCTTTATGATAGTAATTAAGTTAATATATTGATAATTTATGTCATTTTATAAAAAAAATCTTAAATTTTAAGGCCTTTTTAACATTTTGAGATATACAAAAAATACCATGGTTTCTGATCACCTTTTTAAAGATACTTAGTTCGGCTCTGATTTCATTAATAGGTATTTGCATTTACCTATAGATACAAACAAAAACAATTCTTTCATTAACAATTCCCCATGCAATTCCAATAAAAAATGAGAGAAATTTTATCAAATAATCAAATGTATCATTCTTAAAAAGAAATAAAGACTTTGATACCGAAACTAGTAGGAAAACAATAAAAACAAAAAAACAAACTTTTATTAATAGAGAAATCGGGTTACAAAACAACTTTAAAAAAAGTAATACAATAATAGACTAATTTCCGGCTAGAACTATAGGTAGAGATCCGAAGGCGGTGTTAGCGTCGGCGGAGTAATAGGGAGAGATGGGGAAGGCCGAGTGGTTGTTTGGGGTTGGATGGGATGGTGTTTGGTTGGTTGTAGGCAAGCTTGACAGCAAGGTTCTGGAGGCAGTAGAGAAGATGGCGGAGTGGTGGAGGGATATGGGGGTGGTCAACGGTGAGGTAGAAGAAGAGTTGGAGAGAAGATGTGGAGGAGATGGGAAGGATATAACACCGCCTCAGAGCAAGATACAACTAGAACACCACTTGTCGTATATAACCCTAGCATGAGGTTAAAGGACTCCACACAGGAGATGCGAGGACAAGACAACCAGAACTGATTCCCACACATATTGAGGACAGCACTACACAAAAGAAATTGGGTTTTTTAAACGCTGGAACAGCTCTGAAGCTTTCTAGGATTGCGATCGTGCGCGCCTTCTTATGTCTTCAAGAGAATTCACGATCCGCCTCTGCTCCCGCTTTAGATAAGTATGGTGTGGTTTTTGGCCCCCGCGGTTTGAAGCGCCCCCCTTCGGGGTGCTTGCAATGCCCGCAGTCGGGCGCTATTATAGCACCGCATCAGACTCAATCTCTCACCAATTAAACAAATAAACACAAGCATTTTCACCCCTATTCTTCTCAACCAAACATACAGACGACAATTAATTTCAATCGAGTTACTATATCATTTTCATTTCCATTTCATTCTGTTCCCTCTATCAAATTCCTTTAAACCAAACCTAAATCTAAATAACATTAGATTGTTTCTGCTCTTCAATTTAATGGTTTTCACTCAAATCAAAGAGAGAGAGAAAGAGATTACTTTCACTCGATTTCTCAAACAAACAAGCAGGTGAAATTATTCAATTAAATATTTCTAGCATTTACAATTTCTTATATCTACTTCAATCTAATCAAAACATGCAAAACCTTGATATTTGGTACTTCACAGGAAAAAGGAACCAGATAAAAGCGGCCTTACGTTGAACAACGGCATAATAATTTAGTAAATGGTAATAGCAGCATTTGGTATTGGTTTCATCATCTCTCCCTATCCATATATCATTTGTAATAACTGAAAATAATAATAGCATAAATAATAATATAAATAAATAAAAATGTTGAAGGAACTGACGAGGTGACTCCGCTAATAGGAGACGAAAGAGGAGAGGATCGTTTTATCCCAAGCAAAAGAGACGAACGAAATTTGTCTCATTCGAAACCTATGAAGTGAGACAAGGAAAGAGTTGAAGCCACCAAAATGCATGGCATCACGGTGTATTGCATGCCGGTGACAAAGTCATTGTGCCGATCAAATGTGGAGTGTGGGAGACAGCATACACAAAAGGAAGGTTGATCAAAGCCGAGATCGGAAGGGATGAAGACTCGCTCATCCGCAACAAGCAATTCCACGTGCAATTGAGAATGGCATGCATAAGAGAAGATAAAGCCGCTTGTAGGAGGGCTGGAATTGGAGAGTGTGCAATTCCTTAATTTGTTGAGGCCAACTCTTAAGGTTAAAGTCTTAGGATAGAGTTTTACTTCGCTAAAAAAAGTTTTATTAGGTATTAATATTAATTGCTATTAAAAAAATGCCAGCAATCAAAGGCAGAAGAATATTCGGATTGAAAGATGAGGGAACTAAATTATTGATCTTATAAGAAGGATACAAATACTTGAGGTGTTCTTTTCTTTTGTAATTCTTCTAGTTTGTATAAACAACCAAATTTAGAGTAATTCATATTTCAACATCATGATTGGACAATAATACTAGATTTGATCGAAATTAATCGGAGATATGACGACAAAAAGTGATCTTTGATTATACAAAAGAAGAAACCAGAAGAACGAGGTATGTAATAAATCAATGATAAATTTTGAAGATTAAATAAATTGTCTAAACTTAACATCTTAAATTTTATTACTATGTGAAATTTATAAAATTAATATTTGAATTTTGAGAAAATGAGGGAAGCTCATGGAAGATTTGATCGAGAATAAAACTAGATTTGATCGAAAATAATCGGAGATATGACGACAAAAAGTGATCTTTGATTATACAAAAGAAGAAAGCAGCAGAACGAGGTATGTAATAAATCAATGATAAAATTTGAAGATTAAATAAATTGTCTAAACTTAACATCTTAAATTTTATTACTATGTGAAATTTATAAAATTAATATTTGAAATTTTAGAAAATGAGGGAAGCCCATGGAAGATTTTGCAGAGTAATTGAGGTCTAAAATAAATTTAGAATTATTAAACAATAATTACTTAGCTCTATTAGAATCATTATTTTTGAAATAGATTTCTAATATATGATTTTATGAGTGAAGAGGCAAAATAACCTGCTAATTATTTACATGAGGCCATTTTAGTCCCACACTCTATAGAAGTGTCAAATTAGTCCCTATACCCTTTTGATATGGGCTGAAATAGTCCATAGATCCCTGACAAAAAGTCAGGGGACCATTTTGACACTTTGCTTATATTTTTATTACTATATGTGATAGGAGAAGGCGAAAACTGAGGATCAAACATTTAAGAACCTATAGAAGAGTTAAAACAAGTAAATACTCTTCAACTTTTTACTAATTTCAATCATTTAAAATGCAAATACAATCATGTTTAAAAATGTTCAAAACTTGATATTTGTAGACAAAAATAATTGAACATTTAATGCACAAAAGTTTCGTAAGCATTACAAAAAGATTTGAAGAACTACCATATATTGCATATGCACTGAAAGATTAATATATATTACAAATGATTAAAATAACTATAATGAAAATCAAGTCAAAGGATTGTATAAGTCAATCAAAGGAGTCACCCTTTTATGATATTAACTTGGAACGTATTGCACCCGTGTACGAAAATTGAAATAGAAAAAAAGGGGAGAAAAAAAAATGATTTACCTTATAAAAAAATGGTGCAAATGAAAATAGGAATCATATAGTATTGTTTCTATGCTTAGTTTATTTCCTTTACAAATATGACTACAAAATGGAGATTCTAAAGTGTAGTGATGTCTAAAAACTTTTGTGGTTTTGGTGGCTCTTTACAATTTAGATGCTATCATGCATTATTACAAATGTTAGAATTATATTTATCCACCGTCCGACAGTTCATTTACATATTAAAAATTTCAAACTCCCATGTTGGGGCGTGACACCATCTATTATTCATATTACCTACACTCTTCCTATTAAATAAAACCTTTTGGCCCTATTTGATATTAAGGAATTTAAAAGAGAAAAGAAAATGGAAATAAAATGGTGCAGACATTGTAGTGAAATTAATATTCACCCACTTGCTGGGTTGAGGAGAAATTGAGCAAATTTTTCCTTTGTTGGTAAGTTGATAAGAAGTTAAATTTTTATTACTTGTGCATAAATTATTGCGATAAACCCACTTGCTGGGTTGAGGAGAAATTGAGCAATTTTTTCCTTTGTTGGTAAGTTGATAAGAAGTTAAATTTTTATTACTTGTGTAAAACAGACATAAATTATTGCGATAAACCAATAAATTTTTCTTTCCATTTTTACATGGGGTTGGGTAAGCAAATGTCAACGAAAAAAATAGATTTGTTAACATTTCCTAAATAAATCCAATTGCCTATGAATTAACATGGCGCCAAACACCTAATATAAAATCAAAGATTCCCTCTAATTACTTTGCTTAAAGGGAGCCTTAACAGTCATTTATTCCACTCGTAACAATGGGTAATTTCCTTAGGAATAAGTTGTGAGTATGTATATCAAATCAATCAATTTGGGCAACTTTATCCCTTAACGTGTTGCTCTGCCATTCTTTTTATATGCTGTAAGCTGAAAATGGATTTAGGGGATAACCAGCATAACATTTTTGTTACATATATATAATATGTTCAATTTTTACCTCTAGAGATCATTAATTTCTTAATTAAAAGAAATTAATTTACTGTGTCATTGTTCCGTTCAATAACCATTTGGAACTGGATCTACATTTATGCAAAAAGCTTTCAGATATGAAATCTTTGGCAAATAAACAGACCTGTAAAAAGGTATCGGATGATGAGGGACCATGTCTTAATGGACTTAATGGATGGGACTTCATTTAATGGATGGGACTTCATTCCATCAAACTCAAAGAGTTGTCCTACATTGAGAAAATATGAGGTTGGAACTTAGAAAACCAGATTATTGAATGATCCTTGCTATGCCTTCATATTTAAGATCGATGATATATCAACAAGTTTCGTACCATCAACACATGCAAAGCAGATGTAGTGCTCCTCAACAATCGAAACAGCCTAAGAAGAGGAGAAATCATCAGAAACCATTTTCCAAGGTCCAATACTTTAATTTGATATCAAATCTGGATCCATTATATTAAATACATGTAATAAATTTACAGAAAATTTAAATAACAGCAAAACTAGACAATTAAATCTAAAAGTAAAGGTGTCGCAGGGCATAAAGCGAAAAATTGAAGAATTTAGAATAGCTATAACATTTCCAGATGTTACCGATAAAAGCGTGGGCAGTATAAACAATTACATCCATAATTGGAGGCTTGTTTGCGCCTCAAATCGGTAATAAAGTTGTATTTTAAAATAAGGGCTAATAAGGCTTTATAGCTCTTGTAGGTAACAACAAATAGAGAAAGATTGTGACTTAGATCATAGTCCTTCAAGAAAATTTCCAAATACTGAAATTAACATGCATGATAACCACATGCCTTTTATTTGGTATGAGAAAATCATTTAAAAACAAGTATATAATTCATGCATATGCTCACCACATAATACAATAAAAATCATAAGATGTATGCTTGGGAAATGGAACATCTAGATTTATCGTCTAAATTATGAGCTGTTTGAAAATTTCATATTCAACAATAATTTATATTTCATATCAGCTTCAAATTTTATTTCAGATTTAGATTAAATATTATTAGATTTATAATGACAATTAAATTCCAATCAAATCCATAGCCATTAATACTTATTATTTCTTGCCTACTATTCCTCATTATGTATTTTCTTGTTTGCTTTACTATGTTTTATCCCTTTCCTATTTATTTTATTCTGATTTATTTCCCATTGTTGTGCTTATTGTAATTGGATTTTAAATACCCCTCTTCTATCAATAAAGTTGTGCTAGTTTTTTCCAATTTTCAACATGATATCAGAGTCTAACCCTAGATCCAGACCGCCACCGACAATGCAAAGACTCCTAGATGTCGGTCTCCATTGGCGGTTCCTATAGTCGTCGACCACTTCCGAAATTCACAGGAGCAGTCATATGTTCCCTCTACCTCCCGTCTGCGAGAGCAAACCACTGGTGCCCTCTGCCTCCCGTCTACAAGAGCAAACCATCGGTTCCCACTTCCTCCCGTTTGCAAAAGCAAATCGTTGTTTACTCTGCTTTCCATCTGCAAGAGAAAATCGTTGGTTCCCTGTTCTTTCTATCTTGCATCTACAGGAACAAGCCTCTGCCTTCCGTCTGCAAGACCAAGCTGTTGACCTCATTTTTAGTGAGGTCTTAGTCTCCTACTCTTAGAACCTAGGATCTAGCTTTAGGAGTTCTTATTGACCATCCTAGCGGACTAGCAATGGAGCCCACCTCCTGTAGAACTTCAAGTCACTTCTTGACTCATTTTTGTGAAGAACTCGCATAAGTGGTTCCAAGCACTCAACTTCTAGTTGCAAGGGCTAAGAACCAACATGTAGAGAGCCCGAAAATGAGTTCCTATAGGATCAAACAGCCTTAGGTGAACCCTTTGTGACTCGATTACTCGCGAACACCGCAATTCACACACTCACTGCACCACACACGACTTTGACTTGATTTGACTCGCCCGTCGGCAAACCCGTCCGGACGACCCCAGATGAAGAAACAGACCGCACGGATGCGTCCAGGACGTCGACTTTAGCTAGGAAGGACACCCATATTGTTATGGTTTCGCGCGCGAGCGACTAACAGAGCGACTAACACGAAAATCGACTAACACGAAAATCGATGCACGTTAGCGAGACGCGGGTCTGGGCTCAACTCATGTTAAACTCGGGTTTGATTCGGGCTGGACTCGAGCTGACCAAGGGTTAAACATTTTGAATTTTAAATTTCTGAATTTCAAATGTGACATTTAATCTCTATCTTAACGGAGAGTTAGGATTTTCCAATTGAGGGGCTGCGTGAATGGAGGATATACAAATTTGCTTCTTCTTCTCGACAGAGGAGGCCGAATTCGAAAAAAAAACCCCTCTTCTACTCGCGCTCGTCTCTCCTTCCTCGGCATCGAACGAAGTCCCTCGCTCGGCTCCCTACACCGGAGCCCGCTCTCCCTCTGCGCTAGATAGGCTCCCGCTCGCTTTCTCCCCCTCTCTGCACTGCGCCTCTTCCTTCTCTCGCCCGATTCCTTCCTTCGACACTAAAGTCCCCCGCTCGACTCCCGTCTCCCTCACCAAAGGAGCCGCAGACCCCGCTCGACGCCACCCACAGACCCCGCCTCCTCTCTTCCTCGAATTGCTCCTTCTTCGCTCGACCTCGCTCGTCCGCTCCTCCCTCTCGCGCGCGACAAAAAAGTCCAGTCGCTAGATCCCGCTCGCCTCACGCTCTTGAGTGAAGTTCTTGTTCGATATTGTGAGGTCTTCCGCGACGTAGAAGAAGCCTCGCTCACCTCCTCTCCTTCCTGTGTTGAAAACCACGCTCCGCTCCTCCTCACGCCAAACAGCCGCCCGACGCTGCTCTCGATCTCATTCCTCCGCTCGTCCGCTCTCCATTCCGACTCGACGCTGCGAACCAAGCTCCTCTCTCCCGCTCAGCAAAACACTTGTGATTAAAGTTAGCCGGAAAAGCGACCATGGGATCACCGCGTGTAAAGCCTTCCAACTAAAATCTCTACACATTTGCAGGTTCGTTTCTGGATCACCCTTTTCCTTTTCATTTTTTTTTATTTTCAATTAAAAAAAAAAATCTTGTTATCATTTTTTTTCTTTTTATTTTCAATTTAAAAAAAAAAAATCTTGTTATCATTTATCATCAAGTGTATATCCTAAATCAATCAGTTCTTCTTTCTCAACATAAGAAAATTTTGTGATTTACTTTGACTGGACAAATATAACATGGATAAACAAAAATCATATTAACGCAACTAGTAGCAAATGTTTATTGCATTCCATTGAACGAGCGCCGATCATTATTGTATATTCATGTGTTTGGCATCGATCTTTGGAGAACTATAAATGTTGTTTTGGCCATACATTCTTACTAATTTTTGGAGAAATATAAACAATATTTCGATTGTGTTATTGCTGATTTTAAATATTTAGTTGCTGGTTTTATGTTTCAAGCACCTCAATGCAAATATTTTGATGTTCCAATGATCATTTAATTGCTGATTTTAAATATTCTGTTGTTGGTTTATGTTTTAAGCACTTAAATGCAAACATTGTGAGGTCCCAATGACCATTTACTTGTTGATCTTAAATACTCATTTGCTGATTTCGTGCTTCGAGCACTCGAAATGGAATACTATGAGGCTCGAGATGACCGTTATTCCAGAGCTTGAATGCTTCTTTGCGGGTCTATGTTCTTTTATTTTCGAATGCCTCCCTTGTGGGCTGTTATACCAGTTGTTTGGTGGGTTTAAACATTACGATTTTTAGGGCTTTGCCTGCTGTTTACGTACTATTGTAGAGTTAATTTGTTAACTGATTTTGGAGCGTTTACACACTATCTTGGACTGAATTTCCTAGCTGATTTTGGGATATTTAAAATTGATGCTTTGAGCCTTTGAGCTTACATGAGAGCTTGAGCTTACATGAGAGCTGTTTGAGAATTTTAAAATTACTGTTTTATGGCTGATTTTGAGATTTTTGCCCACTGTTTTGGGTTTCAATTGATTGTTATTTAAACGCTTTAGATCGATTCACTCATTGTTTTCCCCCTTGACTTTACTAGTTTTAAAAGTGGGTCTGCCTTATTCTTCTTTTGTTTTACTTCTTTTTAAATGGTTGTCATAAAGATGGGAATTGATGATTTAATTAATTGAAAGATATAGAAAACCTTAAATCACCTTAAGCATAAGTTAAAGAGTAGGCTTCCTAGAGTTTTAGGAACACACCCTAGGAGAGAGTCCATCCACCTAGCCCTCAGTGTAGGCTTCCTAGACTTTAGGAGCACACCCTAGGTGAGAGACCATCTACCTAATTCTCAGTGTAGGCTTCCTAGATTTTAGGAGCACACCCTAGATGAGAGACAATCTACCTAATTTTCGAATAAATAATGAAACTAGGCACTTTACCCTGATTCAAAAACTGATTAAGATACTAGACATGAAAATGCACCGAGACGTAGTTTATGTTTCCTTAATTAAATCAACACTAGGTGAGAGCCCATCCACCTAGTCCTCAGTGTAGGCTTCCTAGAGCTTAAGCACACACCCTAGGTGAGAGTCCATCCACCTAGCCCTCAGCATAGACTTCCTAGTTTTTAGGAGCACAACATAGGTGAGAGTCCATCCACCTAGACTTCCTAGATTTTAGGTGCACACCTTAGGCGAACGTTCTTTCACCTAATCCTCGAATGCACAGTGAAACTAGACATTTGACTCTAATTCACAAACTGACTATGACACAAGACATGACGCACCGAGGCGTAGTCCATGCTTCCTTAATTAAATCAACAGTGAAATTCTCTCAATGACTTAACCTACAATGAAACCCAGTGCACCGGGATTTGAGCTTGGATATTACACTCAAATCCTCCTGGCAATTGGGGAAATTTGTTAACGCCACATATGGATCACCGGACTAGAATAAGTCTAGGATCTAAGTGGCGAGGGCGATGACGACATTGCTTATGTGTGCTTAAACGAGGGATACGAAGTGAGATTATTAGAATAGTCTCAAGGATCTCAAAGATCTTTAATAAGAAAAAGGAAAGGACCCATGATACTATTCGTCGATTCTTGGTGGGATCATTGCCCCCGACACTCTTAGGTTGTCAGTAGTTCTAGCACGATTAAAGTAACTAGTCTGTGGACTGTACGATTTTACAAAATATTTACAAAAATAAAATAAAAATTTCTTTTGCATGTTAAAAAAGAACTCTACATAAAAAAATATTTAAACAACTTTTGCATGAAAACCTTTCTATGAAAATTTATAAAAGTCCATGATTAGTCATTTTGATCGAGGTTAAGGACTGTCTTCTGTAGATTGTCGAGTTGGCAACTCTTACTTAAGGTCGGGAAGCACACAGCCCAGCTCTGAGCCCCTACTTTTACCAATGTCTTCAACCCCAC